TGGCTCTGTCCCCAGGGGGCTTCCCTGAGAGGGAGGTTTAGCTTTTTGTTTTAGATTTTTGCCATAGTGTACTCTGCTGGGGAGAGAGAGGATAGGAGAAGGAAAATGAGAAATCCCCTTCCCCCACGGGGGATGGCCATACCACAGTTCCTTCTACATTTTCCTCTCAGTACCTTGGGCACACACACTGTGTGCCTGGTGTTTCCTAGTCTGCTGGGTCCAGGACTTGAATCGTACAGTTGGTCATGTGGATCCAATGCCTTAACCACTACGCCACCTGCTGGCCCTAGGATTTAGGGTTTTGCAGATTGGCTTAGTAGGCTGACTGACAGGTCAGGGGGTGGCAGGAGTCAAGGAGCAAGTAAATATGATAGGGAACTTGGATGGCAGGCCCTGCCTCTCCAGGATGATGGCATGCTTTAACTCTTAGGACTTTCTGCCTCTTAGCTCAGTGTCATTCCTCAGCTTAGAGAGAGCCCTCTTGTGGCTCCCTGTGACCCTCACAGTGAATTCCCATAGTCTTTCTGGACATTTGCACGTGAGTTGGGCTCCAGCTCCCCTGTCTCCCTTCACACCACAGAGAACCTTTGAAATCAGTGCTTCACCACAGTATATGGTTTGAAAAATGAAGGCCGAGAGGGAGCAAGGTGACCTGTGAGGTCACCCAAAACGTAGAGGTGGCAGAGCTGAGATTTCGATCCCTGCAGCTCATGCTCTTCACCTCTGGGCGCTGTGGCCCCTGACCCAGACCTCTGCCTTACTCCTGCCCCTCCCACTCAGCGTTCAGGCTCTCCATCCAGACCAGCATTCAAGCCCTGGCTCTGCGGCCACTTAGTAGCTGTGAGACCTTCAGAAAGTTTTTTTTTTTATCTTCTCTGGGCCTCTTTTTCCTTAACTGTAAAAGTGAGATGATAATAATAGTATTTACCTTCTAGGGCTGTTGTGAGATTAAATGCTTAGTGCGTACAACGGTACCTGGCAGGTAGTAAACCCTGGGTAAACACTGGGTATTAGTGCCCTCGTCATCATCATCATCGTCATTGTCCTTATCATTACAGTACGGCCGTGAACCGCCTTCCATTCCTCCCACCCGAGTACCCAGCACTGTTCTGTCCCTTGGGCCTAGACACAGGTTCTTCCCATCTGGAATGCACGCTGTCTTCCTTCCTTGCCAGAATAACTACGGCTTTTCTCAAAATCTCAGTTCGGGCAGTATCCCCAAGGTGACCCCTGTCCCAGTCTTCAAGTTGACTGTCCCAGTTACTGCAGGCTGTATCTCCCCCAGTTGTGCGGCAAGAGCCCTGTTGTTTTTACCTACTTCATGCCCATTGGAAGCTGGACTTGGTATCATTAAAGCTCAGTGACTGGGGGCCAGCAGGTGGCGTGGTGGTTAAAGGCGCTGGATTTCCACATGGCCACCTGTGGTTCAAGTCCTGGATCTGGTGGCTTGCTTTCTCACTTTCCCTCTCTCTCTCTCTGATGAAATTAAAAATAAATAAAATGTAAAATTCTAAAAAAAAAAAAAAGGGTGTCATAGATGCATGTGCTCACCAGAGGAAGAGACAGACAGAGAGAAAGTGAGAAATCACCCCCTCGGGGGGATGGCCACGAAAAAATCCCTTATCCTCCATTTCACTCTCAGGAGTTTTGGGTATGCACACACATGTGCTGGGTGTGATTTTTAAATGGTCAGGTCTGGAACTTGAACCATGGTCAGCCATGTGGGAGTCCAGCACTCTAACCACCACACCACCTGCTGGCCCCAGTGTTTTTGTTTTTTAAGTTTATTCCTTCTGGGGCGCTGGCAGGTGCTGGGCTCCCACGTGGCCGACCACAGTTCGAGTCCCAGACCTGGCAGCTTACTCTCATTGCTCTCTCACTTTCCCTCTCTCTCACTCTCGCACTCGCTCTCTTGCTCTGTCCCTCTCTGGTCAAATAAAAAAATAAAAAATAAACAAAGTTAAGTAAAATAATAACAAAAGAGTCTATTCCTTTTTTTTTTTTTTTTGGAGAGGTTTTCGCTATAGGGCGCGGGCGCTCGCCAGACAGACAGAGACAGCC